GAGCGATATTTAGCCTTAGCAATCTAAACGAAAGTCGTAGATTTCGTTAAACCATGAGCGTGCATAAAAAGAACGTCCAAATCTGACTTCGTATGAGGAAGTTATGATTTTTCTAAGTTTCGACTTAGGAATGCAGCCCGAATACTCGATTTGAGATCGAGCGGTTTTTAGCCGAAACAAATCTAAATGAGAATCGAAGATCTCGTTGTTAGTAGCGAAACATGAAAAGTTAGCGAGAACGGACGTCAGACGAAGAAGTTATGAATTTATAACGAAGTTTTTCTGTCCCGGCCTTCTAAAAATAAATAATAAAAATAAAAGTCAAAATTAGCCGACGGAGTCTAAATGAAAGTTGTAGAGTATGGTCTGACCTTCGCGTGGATATAAAGAACGTCGAAAACGGAGCTCGTATGCGAAAGTTACGCAATTTAGAAGTTCGACAAGTCAATTACGCCGCGTAATTTGAGTACGCCCCGCGTACTCAGTCGGATGCAACTTGTCTGACCAATACTCGAGTGCCACCAGTCGACGCACGCAGTGACGTCAAAGTACGCCCCGCGTAACCCGAGTACGCCCCGCGTAACTTGAGATTACGCCCCGCGTAATCCCAGACCCTCAGCCTATAAATAGAACTCGAATTCAGCCATTTTCTCTTGTTCAAACTCTTCCTCTCTCTAAGTTTTGCCTCGATTTGCGTGCCAATCATACCCCGAAGCCCCGGTAATATTCCGAAGCCCCGAAGGATCCCGAAGAGCGTTATTCCCGAGCCGAAGCGCTGCCCGCGAGGAGCCGGTTTTTGTGAAGATCTTCCAGATCTACGGAGAAACACTACTTCTGCAAGCCGTAGTGCTGCCCGATCATCTTCTATCAAGTGAGTGTGTGGTTACTTTCTTCTAACGCATAATTATTAAGTATTTAGTATAAAATACGTGTTATGTGTATAATATAAAGTTGTTTATATGTGTGGGTGTATAGTCCCTTTCATAAACACGGGTATAATACAAGTATTGTTTGACTGTATTAAGTATATGTTTGGGTGAGTGTGTAGTTACCTTCTTTAACACATAAATATGAAGTATTTGTTATAAAATACGTGCTATGTGTTTATATATTGTTGTTTATTTGAGATGAGTGTGGGATGGATGTTTTATATAGTTTTTAAATGAGTTAAACTGTATATGTATTTTATATCTACAAATATGTTGGGTAGAACATGGGTTGATGAGATAGTTGGTATGTGATAAAACGATGAGGTATGAAAGATGATTAAGAATGATATTGGCAGATGCACCAATTAGAGAATATCATAATACTAGCAGATACGTTTAAGAATAATATCGGTAGATGCACCAAGTAGTGAATGTCGTAATCCTGGCAGATGCGCTTATAGGATAATCCTGGCAGATGCGCTTATAGGATAATGTCGGCAGATGCGCCTAAAAGATAATGTCATAAACCTGGCAGTCGCGCCTCATAGTGTATGACGTAATCCTGGCAGAGGCGCTTAAAGGATAATGTTGGCAGATGCGCCTTATGTAGCAATGGAAGTTTGTGCTAATTCCTTAGGTCAATCCTTAGGAATGAATGAATGATGGGTAGTTGAATTCCTAGGGTAAAAACCTAAGAAATAAAGAAGATAATAGGGATGGGTAATTGAGTTGATTGTTTGATGGTTGAATATAGTAATTATATTATTGTGGGTTGAAAACCCTACATGCTCACCAGGCTCCCAAGCCTGACCCACTCAGTTTTCTTTGTATCACAGGTATCATACGAAGACATATTTCACTGAGAGAATAAAGGAGATGTAAATCATTAGTGATAATAAATGTAAGTTCTGTTTATGCTTATGTGTCTGTATCGGAACATGACATCCCAAGATTTTATTATATAATGAAAATACTTTTCTTTAAGAAATGCTTTGATAAATTTTTATCATATTTCTTTATTTTGGGACAAATTCCGCAACAATTTTCTTCAAACGATTACTCTGATTTTATAAAACAAAGCATAAACAAATCGGTCTTTTCTGGCCATGAAATGGGGATGTCACATATACCTTGAAATATGTCGTGTCATGTGAGGTTAAAAGATTGAGCATGTTGAAAGAGTAAGAGTTAGGTAGGCGGAGAGGAAAAACTAATAGTTTGGAGGCAGAATAGATGAAGTCATAGCAAGTTCAGATGACAAAATTAAAAGAGTGGGAGTTGGAGAGGTATATGAAAAGGTCACGAGGATGTGAGAGTGGTGAAACAGACTGGGTAGTTTAGGAGAGAATGGAAAAACTTAAATTAAGTCTTGATCTAGACGGCTAAATCAATTCAACATTACAAAACGACTCAATTCGAAGGTTTTCTTTTACTTATGGTTTTGGTTTGTATCTTTCTAGTTTATTTAAATAATTCAAAAA